GTTAAAAAACACTCGAACTCAGTGGATCGATACCTGAGCCCGCGATAGGGTCAGGCGATACTGGTCAGCAGAAACACTATTTTGACAGCTGTCAATTAATCAAAACATGGATGTACAATATCAGGTTGCAGGCTCTCAAACTAGCTAGAAAGTGTGAGATTAAACATTGGTATACCTGTGGTGCGGACGGACGGAAGGTCGGGTGGTCGGTGTACGGTCACGTGATTGCCGAATTTTCTAAGATGGATCGATTTTCTAAGCTGTGGGACCTCGAATTGAGCCCGTGATCAAATAAAATATCAGCGCCAAACTTTAAACACTACGTGACCTCAATGGATAGACTAATGAGCCCGCGATACACTCAGATGATGATGGTCAGCGTATACTCTAGTTTGACAGCTGTCAATTAACCTTCATTGCAATGGCGATTATTCGAATTAACAGACTACGAGTGTGAGTAAGACATATCCGTCCGGCATATAGTGGAAAATGCCAGATCGTGTACCTGAGCGAACCTGAGCCCACGTTATTAGTTTTCTAATAGTGGTGTGCACATGTCCCATTTTGACAGCTGTCAATTGACCTTAATTTGGCTTGCCAATATATCTTTAAACGACTGTGAGCCAACTGACAGCCTTGCCCGGCGTAGTTTTGTTTTTATGTTGAATTGGTAAGTGTGACATATTATATCCGCTTATATGTAGGGGCAAAACGACTGGTCTTTCATCTGAGCCCGCGAGATAGTCATGTGATAATTGTCAGCGGATGCCTAATTTTGACAGCTGTCAATCTAATCGTACTCATACGGATGGCTTACAAAACTAAGAGGCGAGTCAAGTTGTGCAAGATCCTTTGTGACATTTGAGATCGGCTTACATGAAGCGTGTGTACGGGTGGGCGGGCGGGCGAGGGGGGCGGGCGGGCGAGGGGGGCGGGCGGGCGTACGCTATGTCATAACCAAATTTTCTCAGATGGATAGTTTACCAAATTTTCTTACCCATTGTGCTCCGCTATTATTATTATTATTATTATTATTATTATCATTATTATTATTATTATTATTATTATTATTCTCAAAACTCAGGGGCACCCAACGTGATTTCCCCCTAAATGCATTGAAAACACATTTACGGCTGTTCAGAGTACTTTTGACCGAAAAATGCATTCTAAACAGCGCTTACATAAATTTAGTCAGGAGGGCTAAAAGCGAAGCTAATGATTTATAGTTTGCTCATACTAAATATAAAATATATCGTGTAATGCTAAGCGGAGAAGGCAACGAGACAGGGCCACCCAACGACTGTTTCCTCAAATACTTTCAATTGAAAACACTTTTGTAGCTATTCATAAAGTACTTTTAGCTCTATAGAAATGCATTCTAAGTGGCGCTATAAAACTTGCATCTCAGTGTTCGGCCATTCTAGAGGAACTTGAGTCTTTTCCAAATTACGAGGAATTCAGAATTATTTTCCCGAAAATTTTAGATGCAATTTAACGTATTACGAAGGAGATAATTTTTCAGATACCTTCTTTCATCACATTTTTGAATCCGAAAATTTTAGGATTCCATTTTACTCTCTACGAAAAATAGCCTAACCCGGTGACTGAAATGTGAAAAATTAAAAGTTGGATGCCCTTGACCAGAACTGTGAAAAACAACAATAGGTCTAATTGCAGCACACTTTCTTGTACATTTCCTTGTCGTTGATTTGCATGACTGCAACGTGAAACGTCCAGAAAACGTCCTGGTTTTCACTTTTTATGGAGAAAATGTGGTACATGTTCTTGTTCACTTTTTCCACTGCTGCTCATTTTTTTTAGCTCCGCTATAAGATTCGTATCTGTTCGGTGCTCCTAGGGCAAATTGGATCTTTTTAAAAATTATAAGGACTTCAATATCATTTTCCCGATTGATTGACCTAGAAGCAATAGTACCATCCCTCCCATAGCAAGTGCTGCATTGTTGCGCGAACGCGGTCGCTAAGCTTGAATATTCACGTCGCGTATTATACCTGGTCGTTCGCGGTCATATCGAAGCGTAAAGGTCAACAGTGGTTGTTGATGAGCGAGCAATTATTGTGCAGTTGCGATGGGTTTTGTGGAGCAAGCGAGCCAGAAGCAGGAGCACACGTTACCTGCAGATTAGCCGATGGTTATTTGGAGCGGATTCGTCGATTATTCTCGAATTTATAGCGCTTCGTGTGAAGGCGCGTGGAGATGGTCTGTTTGTTTTGTAGCCAGCTTTTAATTCTTCTATAGTGGATAGTACCTACAATTGCAAAACTCAACAAAATGCCACTTAAACCGGACTATTTTAGTTCATTGGAGTTTCGACGACTCAACGCATTAATTTGTCCATGTGAATATCAATATATTCATTCAGTGACACATACTACGTCTGGGCCGCCTGTGGTGATACGGAGAAGTGTATCACCATTTAAATTGAAACGACACCTATCCCACAGTGGTTTCTGAATGACTCTATATGTTTTTACTTTATCTAGAAGAACTTTGGTAAAATATAAATATATTCAGAAATTTCAAAACGAAAGAGTTTTAAGCGGCATTTGTAAAAAAAAGACACACACACAAACAACAACGACAACTGAGCCTTACTACATGTACGTGCAAGGATTTGCTTCGTTGCACCGTGCAAGCTGTTATTACGTTCAAGTAGAAGTACGGCCCCGAGTGTCCATTCTCAAGTATTGTTCTTTTATTAATTTTGTTCTGAAGAAAGACCAAAACATGTGATTATTACCATAGATGGTGAGCTTGCGTGCACAAGTATTAAATTTGCCTCAACTGAAATACATGCACTCTGTCATTTTGCGTAGATGTTTAACCAGTCCCATGGATTTGAACCCGTCTTGTTTCTTTGCGGGGTTTTCTTTGCAAGGTGTTCCGTTTATTGATGGAATAAATGACTTTATCATCTATCCATGCATATCAGTCTTAAATTTTCTACATTTTTCAACTGCGTCAAGCATGATTAACAACCCTCGTGATTTTCCATGCAAGGAAGTAAAATCTAGAAGTCTCCTCAAGGACACAAAGTTCCCTTTCTTAAATCTGTTTCCATCTAGCATAACCAACACCTCTCGATGTGATTTTCATGAAGGATAGCGTAAAAGGACGATGTTAAATCTGGAAGTTTCCTTAGGGACCTTAAGTCTCCTTTAATACTGGTAGTACAAACCCAATGTTAATAAGACTTTCAACTTCCTATAGTTTAATTGTATCGTTAAAATTCTTTGGAGTTCTCTGTATCTTAAAATCAAAAAATGCATTTCATTGTGGTCTTTCAAAAAGCAGGACTGGCTCGCTTTGGTAAGGTGACTTTTAATACCCCGGTATTTAGGTGCTTCATGGTGTCACAAGTGCATAAAGAACAATTGCCCAATTGATAAAGTCGACTGTTAACACTGCATGACAACTTTACAGATATGTATCTCGATATGTAACCTTAATTGTCCACTGACACTGCACGTGTCTAACACGGACAATGAAGTGTGAAAGGTTGCAGCACGTTTTAGGCCAATCACGCATATAATTTCCCTTTTTTATTGTTTCTTTTTAATTAAGATCTTCAACAGACGTCATAGTCTTTAGATTACTCAATGAACAGTATTTCATAAGTGTAGTGAATATTTTTGGTTAATCGATCGATTAATTTCGAGTGCGCCGTTTGGGAACAATTACGTGATTACTATTTTTTTTTTTTTTTAACAACCGTCATATCCTGTCATATTTTGTCTATTGAAATGAAATTCCGTTTTACGAGCGATATTTTCGCTTATTAGCAGCGTTCTCCGCAAGAAATTTAAATGTTAGTAACAACGCTCCTGGTTTAGAAAAGATTTTCCCTACTTGACAATATGTCCTCGCAATTTTTTTCCAATATTGGAAATGTGTGCTTTTTACCAGGTAAGCGGTTTGACTGTTTGACGGCCAGTCACCTAACAAACTAAGGGTCATTTGTTTCTTAAGAAGATAATATCTATATAGTCGAAATTGTTACTACGTCCGAATAACAATCATGTATAGAACCACATATCAAATATTTCATTCTCGCATATTGTAAATGACGCTGGGTATATGTTTCCTAAATGTGTAATCTTTATTCCTTATTTCATAATCAGAATTGTGTAAATCTAACACCAAATTATCCAAGGATGCCTTCGTTGTAATAACGATGACTGAATTGCAAACGAAGCATCAAAGCTCTCCTTGCTTATGAATACACCAGGAGTTAGCAAAGATTACGTTCTTTATTTTTTTATTGATGAAATAATTTAGATTAAACACGTGAAGAAAAAAAAAGTTGAACAGAAGAGACTATCCCCCGTAATCTATCTGATGACTAGATGCACCATCGTATATTAGGCCTTGTATTGACAGAAAATGACAGGTTATAGTCGCACAGAGTAATGCATTGCAATCTTTTGTTTTTCTTTTAAATAACAGTTCAAAATAACTCAAAAAGTTAAAATAATTGGTGGAAGTTGACATAAATTTGAACTTCTTTTAGCAGTTACGAACCATTGCTACATTTTTTTTAATTTTTCCATCATAAAGAGGTAACACGTGGCTAACATAACTTCTTTACACTCATTTTTTGACCGATTTTTCACAAAGATATTAGACAATAAATAGTCACGGAAGAGAACTTTTATTAGCGACAAATATACAAGGCCCTTTCAACCCCATAGTAAACGAACACAACCTTTTATGCTCTGCCGCGTAGGGAAACGTTAACAATCCAAGAAAACCACCAATACTCAGTGAGATATGGCGTATACGGACTAAACTACTGCGATCCTTGTCTTCAAAGCAAACAATCCAAGAGAATCACCTTGGTATATGCGAAAAGCTAGACACGGTCATTCCCTATAATGGAACTAAGACAAGCGGAGTCAAAAGTGCCGCCCAATTGATATGTACACCTAAGGGCACCCAAGGAGCTAAAAACTTATGAGTCAAATGATTTGCTAACGGAGAAATATAGTCCGCTGCAAAGCCATGCGATCAATCATATATCACCTGACCTGGGTAGCGCGCATCTAAAATTGTCTAAAATTGTACGCATTCCTCAGTTTTGCTTGATGTTCAGTTACTGCCACTCACTTAACTCTTAATGCCATACTGTGAGTTGCTGTTCATATGGTGCTCGAGAAAGTCTTTGTGTATATCTAGCGTTGCGCCCTTTTTGATTTGAAGGGTATCCATAACTTCTTATAGCTCGAAACAGAGCTCTGTTATATAAAATGAAGCAAACTGAGAAGGGCAAGACAATATATTTTGATATGTTTAAAGCTGCATTACATTTGCGTGCAAATATGTGAATTGTGGTAGATATAATGTTACGGACGACTAGTTAAACTTCCGCAACTTAAGTTGCATTTTAAAATTTAAAAAATGCCTAAATTCGCAAGTTTGACGCACTCCGGATGATTATTAATGCATTTTAAAAGTGTCTTTTTTGTCTCCAAGGTCTTAAACTATGGTCAACTATGGCCCTTGAGCTAAGAGCTTCCTTACACTTACATTTATAAACTTTCTAAAACATTTTTTTTATAGAATATGTATCATGTCAAGGATCAGTGCCGTTTCGATTAACTTTATTCCTCAAACCAAGTTACTTCTTTTTATTACACGGCAATTTGTAGTTTTCTTTATAAATTAAACTACCCCTTCAGTAATCAATAACTATTGATCGGCTCGCAGCTTTATCTACTGCTGGTGATGATCGAACGTCAAAATAAGACCCCCTGGCCTGAACCTCTTCATCCTCTTCTGTTTTCAAAGTTAATTTCCATAATCTTGGACAGAAATTACTTTAAGCGCTATAAATAATGGTTTTCTGTGAAGTGAATGTACCACCTGGTTAGCTCAGTTGGGAGAGCGCCGGTCTGCCGAGCGGGAGGTCGCGGGTTCAAACCCCGGCCGGACCAACACTCAGGGTCTTTAAATAACTGAGAAGAAAGTGCTGCCTTTGTAATGACATCTGCAAATGGTTAGACTTTCTAATAAGGACGATAAGGAGGAAAAACCGTAGGTCCCGTCTCAGAGCACTTTCACTGATTTGTTCTTGTGGGAAGTAAAAGAACCTACATCACTATTCGAAAAGAGTAGGGGTCGTAGATCCCGGTGGTATGGCCAACCTTTACGGGTTGTGGGATTGGGCAGGGATGGCACCTTGCATGGGACTTATGAGTCCCGTTCGTGCACATTCCCTCTGGGCAGGCCTGTGTCCAGAAAAGCTGGTAAATAAATAAATGAATAAATAAACAAATAAAAAATAAAAATGAATTATGGAGGGTTGTGGCAAATACAAGTAAAGAACAAATCAAGTAGTGTCAAAAGAGCAATTTTAACAACTACCTCTTTGTTTATTTGCTTCAGTTTTAGTTTTCACTTTGCTTCAACTGGCCAACGCCCAACACAGTAAGTATATGCTAGATTTCACTTGTGTTATTATCATTTTATTTTCATTATTGTTATTACTATTATTATTATTATTATATTATTATTATTATTAATATCAATATTATTATTATTATTATTATTATTATCATTATTATTATTACAAGTGAAACCGGTAAACGTAAATTATAATTATTTTACACAATGTAAAACTTCGAGTTTAAACCTTAAAATAATTTGATCAAAAAGGGTTAGTTTTTTCGTCTTTCTTCGGTGCCGCAAATTTATACGACGAAGTCACGGTTTGAGGTTGTCCGTTTCAGTGAAAAGTAATGTTATTTGCTTTTATTGAAACGGGTGGATGAAAATTGATTGCTCTTTTTGGATGTACAAATCATGAGCAGTGACATACAAGTCATGTCAAAGAGAAAGGAAAATAAACTATAAAAGCTGATTCTTAAGTATTGGCAAATTAATAAAATAGATTTACAAAGAGACAGAGACAGAGACAGAAATTGCTCTTCCTGGAAGCCCAAAAAAAAAAAAAAAAAAAAAACTTAATAACGAACACCCTACAAACCACTAAGCTGAAACCGTATGTCATGTTAGGCCCCTTTCAAACATAGAATTTCTTATGAGTTCCGAACACCTACTTTAGTCGATGAAAATATATAAAGGATATTACACGGTGGCGAGAAGATATGAATTTTATGTTCGAGTGGCAAGAACAATATCGCGAACAAGTGAGATATTGTTCTTGCCACTCGAACATAAAATTCATATCTTCGAGTCAACGTGTAATGTTCTTTTTATTATATGGAGAAACCAATTCAACAAAAGCAAAAGACGGGAATCGTGACGTCATTGAACGATACGACACTCACTAAGGTGACATACGGAAAATACGCCACTCGGTTCCCGGATGAAGTGGCGCATAGAATCTACGAGTGGTTTAGTTCCCAGTAAAACACTCTCCTCCATATAATAAAATTAAACACGGCAGTTGATTCTGACGTGGGATATAATGGTGCCGAATTTAAGTCCGTTTGTTGTACATTATGTAATATTCCCAGCCTCTAGAAAAAATTGTTTTCCAATATGGATAAGGGTTTTTATAATTAATTCATTATATTCGGAACAAGTGAAATACGACTTCTAAGCCAAATGTTGAACCTAAGTCGAATTTCGACTGTTTCAGTCGCAGATTCGGCAAAGTCGTATTTAATTTGAAACAGTTACCTCTCGAATTACATTAGGCACATGTAAAATTCGACGTTTGAGCTGGGTAATGATAACAGTGTCCAGTATTACTAAAAATACCAGTAAATACTCTATGATACATACATGTACGGCATTTTTTATATTCCTGTAAACTTTGCTTTCAATTTATCACATTATGTTACTAATGCTATATGCACCACACAGGTCAAAAAGAGAGTAAAAAAGAGAAAGAAAAAAAAATAAGGTTATGAAAAATTTGCTTCAAGGGTATTCGAGCCCGCACCCTCCGAATAAGTCAGAACTAAAAGTTAACGCCTCCATTGAGTAAATGATGTTGTAGGGATTGGTATTGTTAAACACCTGCTTACCTATAAGTTAATCCCGGTCATACGTCACGGTCTCGAATGCGGAAAGTTTGCTTTGATAAGATTATGATTCCTTGAAAGAAATTAAAAGGGAAGGTGCATCCAGATTTGATATCCTGGGGCACTGAAAAGATACTTTGATATGGATGTAAGCGCCACGTAGGTTCATATTCCCTGCTTTTAGCCCTACTTCCATACATGCATGAGCTGGCTCACTCTCAGTTCACTACTTAATCATACCCGGACACAACAACCTAGGTTTTTAATGAATTATATGATGGAATCAGACAAAAGCTTTTGCCTTGTTCTGCTGCAATAACAGACACTTATTTTTTTACATTTTGTCTCTTACATATAGTATCTTGTGGGTCTCGACCGAGCGCTAGTAATCGAATTGTTGGTGGTTCAGTTGCAAAAGTGAATAGCTGGCCGTGGCAGGTGATGTTGATCGTGAGATCGTCTGGAGACCAGTTTTGCGGCGGATCGTTAGTAGACCGTTATTGGGTGGTGACCGCTGCCCATTGTGTCAACCGCATACCACCGTATTTTATCAAAGTAAAGTAAGTTACGCTTGAAATATTTTAAAGCCAGAAATAATACTCCTCTTCAAAACCTTCAGAGAAGATGGGAATAGGTACAAGCTTTGGGCGCAGTGATTTCTGGGATTGTTTGGGCGGACAAGCGATAGTTATGATTATAATTATCGGGGCTTTTTATATCCTGGCAACATGCAGCAGTAGGCTGGGATACCAGATTCTGTGTTTACATCGTTTAGTAATTCTGGCCCCTTAACATCTCTTTTTAATCAACCTGCGATCAGGTGGCCCTTCTCCCTTATGTTTTGGGCAGTGTAGGAGCTGCTCGGAAGGTCTCTGCTAATTGGTCGCAGGGAGAAATTACATGTCATTCTTTCAATTGTTTTAGTATTGTTTGGGGTCAGGGTTATTAGGTACCATTAAGTGGCGACTTTTCTTCCGAGCAGCTGCTACAAAAAATAAATACATAAACAAAGAAATGAAAAAAAAAAAAAGAAAAGAAAACGAAAACGTTCACATTGGCCCTGTAAAGGATAATCATTATAAATAGTCATTTATTTACTTATTATATTTTTAAAGGTTGGGAGCCCACTACAGAACAATCGGAAATGTTGGAACAGAACAGGAAATCGGGGTCGCACAGATTATCAGGCATGAAAGCTATAATAACCCTTTGAGCTTTAGCCACGACATCGCCCTGATTAAGTTGTTGAAACCTGCGAATCTTGGAATAGGCATCGGACTTGTCTGCCTGCCTGATAAGGGGCACGCTCTCCCTTTTGACAATTTGAACAAAAAGTGCTGGATAACAGGTTGGGGTACGTTGTCTTCAGGCGGGTCCCATCCAAATACACTCATGGAAGCTATGATACCACTGGTCTCCAAGCGACGTTGTCTGAATTCCTACCCTAGAAAGATTGATTATTCGATGCTCTGTGCTGGCCTGGATGCAGGAGGAGTTGACGCTTGCCAAGGGGATAGTGGTGGTCCACTGGTGTGCGAGTTTGACGGTACATGGTTTCTTGAAGGTGTAACAAGCTGGGGTCAGGGATGTGCGTATGCTTCAAAGTATGGAGTATATGCTAAGGTTAGAGAACTGAAAGCATGGATAACCAGCCATATCTATCGAGCAATACCCCCTGCTGTTTCGCCACAGAATCAATCGGTGTCCGCATTAGGTAAGAATTCTAAACAGCTTTTACATAACCCTTTCTTGGCAATAAAAAGGCACTTTACTGTGATCATGCATCTAGCCAATTTACTGGCAAAAGGTCAATGATTCTAATAAAACATGCAATCGTCTCATTGATCGTGCTACAGGTTTTATAAACAATTCAGATTTTTTCATTAAAAATAGATTTTACTAGGAAGTTGATGTTTGGAAGAAAATTAATGAATGAGTGAATAAATGAACGGACGAACGAATGAGTAAATAGATGAATAAAGAAGGAACGAACGTAAGAACGAACGAACGAACAAATGAAGAATGAATAAATAAATTAGTTAATGAATGGGTAGACGGACAGAAACGAATGCATTGATTTGTTTATTTGTTTATTTTACTTGCTAAGTAGGGTGCACATTTGACAATGGATTATGCTCCGGATGGAGCCAATCCGCTTCAGATGATTTTGATTGGACACTTTCGTCTGGTTCAACACCATCAGAATCTACTGGGCCATCTTCTGGTCAAGGGGGATCAGGTCAGATGTAGTTTTTGTTTTCTTTTAGTCCCAAATCCATCCTCAACGTGGAAGAAATGTAGCGTTAATTAAGTTCCTTTAGTCATTGGCATGTCCGGATCCGTAGCCATATATTGCAATGAAGTAGAATTTAATATATGTTACGCGTATACAGCTAAAGACTCTACCTATTAGTAATCAAATAGCATGGAGCAGTTTATATCTTATATAGTATTTTTTTTATTTGTTTTTCAGTCAAAGCAAGTTCTAAGAAAATAAACACCATTTTTGTTAAAACAAACAACAACAGCCAAACAAACAAAAACTTCAACTGCAAAATACAACACAAATTCAGTCACCTGTACATAGTCCTTTATTGATTGTTAAAGTAATATTTACCGATATTTGCCTCCTCCTCTTTCCTTAAAGGAAATTATATGTACATTGAAACATCCTCACCTAGAAGACGTGGCGACAAAGCCAAGCTTGTTCTTACTATTCCAAACAATGGCCAAATGTCGTGCCTTTCATTTTACTATCATATGTATGGAGCTTCAGTTGGAACTCTTAACGTCTACAGCGGAAACAGCAAAGTCTTTTATATTTCCGGACAACAGAGTAATTACTGGATTATGGTGGAGAGAAACATAATTCTGAATGGATTGGTAAGAGAAAGAAGCGTGCTAACGCGGGCGTTATTCCAGCTATTCATCATCATCATCATCATCATCATCATCATCATCATCGCCACTAGCAGATAGGAAGTGTCAGGTATATTGCTAACCACAACTCTTTTCGCAGGTAATATTTGAGGGGATTGCAGGAAATTCATTTACTGGCGATATCGCGATTGATAGTGTAGAAATAGACAATGGAAACTGTCTAGGTAAAAATAAATCGATTTGTATATATTTTTATATTATTATTATTATTATTATTATTATTATTATTATTATTATTATTATTATTACAGTCAAACCAGGTCAAGCGTTCAACATTTATTATTGAATCGAGGTCCAATTTGACTGTTGGATTATTCATTTTATGAATGGATTATTGAATCAACAAACGAAATCATTTTTCCGTTAATGAATTCATTAGATCGTTAGCGACGGGAACACTTGACCTGGTTTGACTGTATTATTATTATTATCATTATTATTATCATTATTATTATTATTATTATTATTATTATTATTATTATTATTATTATTATTATCATTATTGCTGCTGCCCAATATCAGGCCATCAAGACCAAGTACTATCGCAGCAAGATCCTAAAGGATAGTGCAGACCCAATGTGCAGAATTTGTGGTCAATTTCAGGAAACTATTGACCATATTTTGGCAGGGTGCCCTGAGCTGGCCGAAACTGAATATCTACACAGCCACAACAAAGCCGCCACATACCTCCACTGGAACATCTGTAAAGAAATTAATATAAACACAAACGAGAAATGGTACGAGCATAAGCCACAAACAGTAAGAGAAAAACACGACATCACAATCTTGTGAGATATGCCAATACAGAGAGATCGTGAGATAAAGGCCAAGAGACCAGATATTGTGATCAACAACAAACAAGAAAAACGCTGCCTGCTTATTGATATGTCCATCCCCACTGAAAAGAATACTTCAGTTAAAGTAACTGAAAATTTTTCAAAATACAAAGACCGTGAAAAAGAAGTTGAATGAATGTGGGGGATGAAAGCTACAACAATTCCGATAGTGATAGGGGCCCCGGCACTAATTAAGAAAGGGTTGGGAAAATATATACAACAGATCCCGGGTAACATCAAAATGCATGAACTACAGAAGATCACACTACTTGGAACATCTCACATCCTAAGAAAGGCACTCCCTATCAAATAGACTTCTACCTCATTCTAACCCTAGGCCCAAGGAATGGGCTCGGCCATTATGCTGCGTTATGGTATTACTTTAAAGAAGATAATAATAATTATTATGATAATAATAACTTCTCATTAATATTTTCTTATGGACACAGATTAAATGATCTTTTCCTAATTGTAAGACCAACTGACATATGGATCGGTGGTAACGTTTTATGGACTCGTTTTATCTTTAGTGTTCATACTAAAGACGTTATTATTATTATTATTGTCTCTATTATCACAGTCTTTGCTGGTGTTCTTTTTGTGCATCAGCTGGGCGGAAACCATGCACCTAGAGCGTCAGTCACTCAAGTCAATCATTCTGTTCATACACTGAGCATCTTTCTGAGGATTCCTGCAGATCTCAGCTTACAGATCTTTTGAATCTCTGTCATAGTAGCTCTCTCTGATACTTTCTTGATGTTTTCTAACATACCCTTCTTCACTGTACCAAGCGCACCAACAACCACACGGATCACTGCGGTTTTCATATGCCACATTCTCTGTATTTCTAGTTCTAGGTCTTTGTCCTTGCATTTTTTTTTTCAGTTTCCTTCAGTGCGATCTTTCTATCTGATGGAACAGTCATGTCAATAAGTTTGCAGGTGGAATTCACTGAATCTTTAACGATGATATCTGGTCTGTTCGCTGTTATAGTTCTATCAGTATTGACTGGCATGTCCCACATGATGGTGATGTTGTTATCTTTACTGTGTATTATTATTATTATTATTATTATTATTATTATTATTATTATCATTATTATTATTATCATCTCATTTAATGTAATACTGCTCCATATAATTTTCTAAATCGTTTTCGCATGAAAACAATGAGACGGTGGCCGTGTTATTGTACCAAAAAAATTTCCCTCGGGGTTTAACCTCCTTTCTCACTTTAACATAAACTTCCTCTAGCTTTAGTCTTTCCATACTTTACATCTTTCAGCTAATGCTTATTCGACGCCAACTGCAGCTGGTTCAACGTTACCACCAAGTACTTATTCATCCGAAAATCAGCTTGCTTCCACAACGCCAACTGAAGATGGTTCAACGCTACAACCAAGTACTTTTTCACCCGAAAAAAATGCCTCTAAACCGACGCCAAGTGCAGATGGTTCAACGCTTAAACCAAGTACGCCATCGAATGAAGCGATTAGAAAATCGGTTTTGTTAAAGGTCAATAATATGGACATAAAAAAGGTAGTTTTTTTTTTCTTATATCAAAAAAACAATTTAACATAACAAATATTAATGATGAATATTTATTTAATTGTATTTTTTTATATGTGTTTATTTCTTTTTTGTAAGCTCTTATCATTTTTTATATTATTATTATTATTATTATTATTATTATTTTCGTTTGCTGTAGTTGTGTTTTTTACTCATGCACGTGTGTTTTTTGTTATTATTATTGTTTATCAGTGGAACCGAGTCATGGAATACTATTTCAAAAGAGAAGTTGCAGCTGCGGCGAGGGAATATTGTGCTCAAGTTCAGTGTTTCCAAAACCAATCAAGGTAAATATTTTTGTTTCTTTTTGTTTGTAAGACATGAATAAAATCTTAAATTAATTGAGGGCAACAAGAGGAGCCCGCAATCCTAATCGCCAGGTTGTTATTACGCATGCGTCGTGTGCCTGTAGCCGGCATTCATTGGGACTTCCACTAAGAACGAATGGAATGCACAGAACGCAATTTGATCACGCGCGTTTAGACCTTCTATCACTCGTAATCTGATCACGCGTGTTTTGACTATCTGTCACGTGAAACTTACGCAAAGCACAGCGATGGAGCAAAAGTGTTTGACATTGGATCTCCGTAACCTTTGGTTATTACTAGTTACTAGAAAACAATCGAATTTTAGAAAGTTCGATGTTTAACAGATTTAGAGCATCCACATAACACTTTGGGGTATAAAGGGATCGCTATTCTTACTGCATACATGTACATATTTAGCTTGTTGGCGGCGAAGAGTTGACTTCTTTAAATCCGTTGTGGTGGGCCGGGAACATACTCCACAGGGAAAAATGAGAATTTACTGTCCTGAAATGAAAATGCATGTCAAACTATTAACCTTTAATAACAGTTATTTATAACAAAATGCATTTTAAACGATTATATTGCCATAATTAATTGCGTCATGATTCATGATTGATATAGAGCTGTAGCAACCTTGTTCCCAGGCTTCTCTCCTATCCGCCCTACAGAGCGCGTGAGAGAGAGAGAGATCCTGGTTGGAGCTGGTCACGTGTCTCCAGAACAAAACTATTTCTGAGGGACGAATCCTTTGTCTCACAATTTTTTGTCTGGTTTGCTCTCAACGTTCTCGCAATGATCGCAAAAGGAAGATAGATTTGCTAACCCTACTAGCTCATATTACAACTGTAACTGAAACTAAGGCAAAAATTTCTGCCTAAACATCGGGAGATAAACAAGGGAATTACCATAGAAGGAATAAAGGAGTTGCGTTGTCGTCGGTTTCACCGATGACAGCAATAATCGCTTAAAATCTACGATCTTGAGTTCTACACAAGCGAGTTAATTTTTTGAAGGTAAAATCCCTGTATGTTGAACTGCATTGGGAGTTTCAATTTACTTCTGACAGCGGCTAGTAACCAGCCCAAATAAACCTACATCATTAGCGGTGTTAGCGGTTCGCCGAGAGCAGGGAATTCAGTTTACATGACGATCAAAATAATATTTTAGATCTAGTCACTTTACGGAAAGCTATAGCCTGAAGTGTCAACACCCTAACCTTTGTTAGGATGTGGCAATAAAAAAAAAACGTATCGCTTCTGGTGGTAAAACGAGATAAAAATAATTATTTACTATGACCACATCGCGACACAAAGGACAACAGGGAATAGTATAAACAGAGCTAAACAGAGACAAAGCAGACAACATATCCTTCCAAGCGAAAGGCTTTCCTGTATATAGTTCATATGAAAACTTTTTTAAAAAACTCATGTGATTAAGTGATTCCTTAAAATCCTCGAAAGAATACCTAAACGACCTAAACCTCCAGAAAATTTAATAAGGAACAATAAACGGTTGGCAGTCCTGCAAGCCATATTTTTAAACGAAGAAGCTTTAATACGGCTATTCTGATGATTGTAAACGACGACAAAAAAAATTTAAAAAAAAAAAAAAAAAGACACAAAGCCGTAGCTAAAAATATATTATTTCAAGATTCTGTTTACCTCTTTTCATTTGAACAATCAGCCTGTGCCCAGGCGGCGTATTCTCTCTTCCTGTTGCTTCGACCTGTTTAATCTATATTTCGAGGTCGGTGAGGACAGCAACGCTTGATGCATCTTTTCGGCGCCCTTTCGAACTGCATTGTCGTAGTCTTGAAGACACAAAGAATTGTCTTCTAAAGTGGCCTCCACAACATAGAAATGGCAATTAAAATCTAGTGCGTTTCTGTAAAAATACCTCTACCAGTATATCTAAATTGACCGCACAAGTGGTGAATCCGCGATTTCCTCTGCATGTGCCAAATGAAAGTATCCTCGATTAACATCCAGCTATTCTACGGGAAGTTGCGCTTTTGCTGTCAAAGGATTTTGCGCATTATTTTTGGCGTTGAAGATCAGGTCAGGTACACAGTTTCATGGCTTCCCTGACCTGTCTACGTTCTGTAGAGACAAATCTCACAGTTACCTGCCCCTTCCCTTAAATCGTTTGTTTGTAATCTCCCAGATTCTGGGAGACACGTGTCCATCTCTCGCTCCGTAGGGCGAGTAGGAGAGAACCCTGAGAACGAGGTTGGAGCTCTAGCCGCCAAACCCATAACCTTTAATTCAGTGCGCTATGATGTAGGTGTTGCGTGTCAAACTCATGAACATGGACTATAAACATGGATTCTGGATAAAATAAAGAAGACAATAATAGAATAAACGACTTACACGAACACTAGAAAAACACGAAATACAGAAAACGCTAACAAAATAAACTTACAAACACATGTAGAAAAGTCCGGCTGGCGCGATGATAACCGATAAAAGGAAAATACAAATGCAACCTTAATTTGAACAAGCATGGCGAACACATTACACATTCCACGAACGGACGGTCCAGTGCCTAACCCAAATACCGATGATTACGTAAAACCGAGGAACCCAACTTTAAAGGGACAGTGTCCCGGTTATGCGTACACGCGAACGTCATCTGTTTTTTTTTTTCTTCAAAAGACAATAGAACTGTCATATTGATGCAACAAGATTTCCCTCCGGACCGTACCGCCGACGGAGAATTGTTGTTTACACTAATACAAAAAGCTCGTTTCGCTCGCTTTACAGCTTTTCTGCTGTGATACGCGTGTCAGAGTTCAATCAGTTGTGGCGAGTAGTCCAGTAATGTTTGCTCACGTTCTGGCCTCAAATATTAAAAAGATATAAATAAGAATGCAATCTCCACGCGATGAAGCATCGCAAAGGTTATTCAAACATTATATTATGATTTCATGGCAGTCGTTTCCCTAAACATTCAGGGGCGCCTTTTTGCTCGATTTTGTCGGCCGTAAGGAGGTTTAATTAAAAGTTTACTAACACGTCGTTGTAACACATTCTGCTTCAAGAAGCTTTCACAATATCTCCTCAGTCACATCCATGTCTCTATGGTTTCTTTCTTAATTACATAGTCTTTCTTGCATTAAGCCTTCAACCGGCATCAAAGCGCTTTGCTCCTCTCTGTCCTCCGGCCAAATGCAATGAAAGCAATGACAAAAGCTCCCTATTTCGCCAAAATTGAAACTGAGCGGGAATAATATATCATTGATCTGTAATTCTGAGAGGTTTTAGTATATTATCGAACTCGGCCAAGCGAGATGCAAACTGATTTTTCAAGGTTCTCTTACTCTCCTCGCATCTTTTGAATTTGCGACATCCTGTCCAAAAATCAAAGTTCGGCACATGCGCAGTAACGGGATATTGTTCCTTTAACAACTAAATTAATAATAATAATAATAATAATAAAATGTAATAGAAGAAAAAAACAGAAAAACATAATCTAAAGATTTTTTTCTTATAACGTCACGTTCATTATGTTGGTGTCCCAAAACAATAAGACAGCGGCCATGTCCTGAGGAAATTCATTAATCTTTCTCTTTAAATCCTTGCCAAAGTCTTTCGTCAGGTTCCTCATTCATATTTCCGTTCTTGCAAAGCATAGCTTTAATTTGAAGTTTTCATTATTAATGGCAATAAACAGCGCTGATAGACAAAGGAATGAAGAGCATTTTTATACCATCATCATCATCATCATCATCATCATCATCATCATCATCATCATCTCATTATTATCATTATTTGCCAGTTTTTAAACTTTTTTTTCTTTTAATAATCTTCCCTGTTTATTGTTTTGTTTTGTTTTGTTTAGTTTGTTTGTTTGTTTTTACTTATTATTTTTTATCGTTTTTTTTAATTTTATTTTTTAGACGAAGGCGTTCGCAGGAAAACGTCAACTTTACGGCTGACATGGTTCACATTCTTCCTGGTTATCCCAATCAGTCAGACGATCCTCCCGGTGTAATCTTACTGGCTTTCTACCTGAGTTTTCCACAAGGAATTTCGGAAAGCAATATTGTCCCTGAGAGAGTATTACATGGCATCGTCATGGGCCATAAAGAGAACATTCAAACATCCATTGGAGGTGAAATCACAAGTGTCGGACCTTTACCATCTGGCACAGAGCAACTGAAAGACGAGGAAAGCGACAAAGGAAACGGCGGAAAGTCAAAACTAACCAATGTTATTATCGGTGCTTCGGTGGGCGGTGGATTGCTCTTAATCATTATTGCTGCCGTTTTGATCGGATGCAAAAACACTGATAGGTATTTCTAGTTTCGCCCGAGTTTTTCCTTTTTCCACTAAGACATGCTAATACTGTTTGTAATGTTTTTCATTTTCTTTTAGTGAAAAAGTGGTCCTGACATAAAATTTTTAATTATGTATTGTTTGTTAAATTGCAATTCTCCAGGTTCAGTCATAACAGACGTGTGACAAGCCGAGAAGAATTAGAGCACCGCGACGCCGCATGTAAGGTGCCTGTGAGTACTTCTTCTAGAGGCAACGTAGATCACATTCATGCTGTTGAAAAAGCTGTGGAAATACGTGAGGATGTCATTTCGTCTTCTCCAAACAAGATTCAGCCTCCTAGAGCCGACAGTAATAAAAAGGAACGGGAGGCCCAACCAAAGACTAAGCATTCGGTTGAATACTTGGCCGAAGTACCAAACCCACAAGAGGAGATATTTTGTTAAACTTTTGCTATGCAGTTTGTTAAGTTAAAAAAAAATCAAGCATAGTTGTTTTAAATAGCTGATACCAAAACCATGGTAAATATGTGTCCGTAGACGGAACAAATTGCTTCTTTTTCTAGTTCAAAAACAGTCGTCGCACGTTGAAAAACATATAGTCCATCAGCTAGGGGGGTTGTATGGCTCACTTAAGGGGAACAAACAAAACATGTATAATCTAAATCTTTGAGTAAAAAGCATCACAAAAATGCATGATAGCAAGG